TTATTTGGAGCTTGCGGCTGTGAACGTTGACCTGTTTTGCATAGAGGTTAGTCTCTGGCCTTATTTTACTTCATGAGATTACTGATTTTTTTTGTTTATTTTTCAATAAATTTGAAATTAAGATCTAAAAATCCTATTGATTATATTCATCACTATCAGCAAATCCAACATCTTCATCTACCCTCGGTTCCTCCTCATCAGAAGACTCATCTAACTCTTTATTAAGCTCTCTCTCATTAAGGGAGGAGCATGAGTAAAATGAGACTTGGTGCTTCTTCTAGGCTTTAAAACTAAATCTACCCCTGATGCTTCTGCAACCACAGTACAAGAAATATTTGTTCTTGGAAATAAGTCATCTTCCTCACCAATATCACCATTTTCTACCAATCATCCTTGTGCATTAGTGGCATCATTGGCAAATAAGATATCTCCATTCTCACTAGCCTCTTTTTCTTGTTGGATGGTTTTGCATTGAATTGAATAAAAACCAAATCATTCACTCTAGAAGCTTCAAGCCTATTCCTTTTTTTAGTGTGTATCTATTAATGAAAGAAAGTACAAATATTACTATCATATATTCATATGTAAGAAAAATCTAATTATGTAAAATAAAATTAGTATAATAAACAATCACTTACCCCCTCGAAGCAACTCCAATTCCGTTCACATCCTATTCCATTCACATCTTGAAGCACTAGAAATCAAGGACAAAATTCTTGTTGCCATTTTGCAAAGATATGGAGTTTATGCTCCCAAAGTTGTCTACCATGCAACTAAAAGTTAACCAATTTACAAGAAATAGACAAATAGTTAAAATTAATCTTCAATTAATTAAACATAAGCATTAAGAAGTAAGAACAAAAGCACTAAATATTTAATAATGTACTACCTAGGTCAAAACTATCCATTGGAACCTGTGTTCCATTAATTGCACTTTTTCTTGAAAAGCAACCTACATAAAGCTTGTATTTGGCCAACTCACTGTTTTGAAGTTCATAAATGACATCCTCATCATTCATAAAAAAAACTTTTCAATGCAATCTAATGTGGCTAATTGAAGCTTTGAATCCATCCTCGTACTTGGATCATTATAAAAATAATATGGATTCAACAAATATGCAATCTTATGTAAGGATGCATCAAGCCTATCTTTACTCTTTTCATCAATGATGTCCAAAACACACTTGCATCCATTTTCATTGTTCTTATAAACTACTTGTATTTCCTTTTTTGCCTTTTCCAACTCTCCAAGAATGAAACCCATGGATAGTCTACTATCCCCATCAACTGGCTACAAAACCTATAGAAGTTTGTAAATTACAAATTAATTATAGTAAACTAACATAGCAAATTCTAACTAATTGTGCAAAATGTCAGGTGAGAAAATATTATTAACATAGATAATAAAAAAATAACTAATTTGATATTAGAATAGAGGAAATTTTGAAAAAGGAAAGGAAAAAGACAAACCTTCACTAAAGGAGCAAAAATCTTCAAGCACATATTAACATCTTTCCTAAATGAAACACTAAACACCGTTGCTTTGGCTTGAATTCCCTTACTAGATTTACAATGCTTGGACTTTTGCCATTCATCCGAAGTAAACATAAGCCTTAACTTTTCCTTTTTCTCATAAAAGTTTTGCAAAGTGAGAAATGAGGTTGTAAGTCTCGTCACTCTCAGCCTCACTATGTTTGCCTTTAACGTATACTTAAGCATCAATGCTAATGTTTGATGATGTGCATAGATGAAAATCATAAGACTCTTAGCCTTTGTGATGGCATTATGGAATTTGGGGATCTTGTGAATTCCTTCAAGTATCAAGTCAATTGTGTGAGCAACACAACAACGCCAAAACAACTTTGGTCTTTTTTCTAAAACAAGTCTTGCTGCTATCATATTGTTTGCAGCATTATCAGTGACAACTTGAACAACATTTTCTTCTCCAACCTCATCAATACCCTTATTAACATAATTGGCTATATACTCAGCTATATGGGCATCCTTAGATTCCTCCTTGGATGAAAGAAAAATTGTTCCCAGCCTTGAGTTTACACATAAGTTCATGATGCTTCTACGTTTCCTATCAGTGCAAGCATCCGTCATTAAGGAACATCTAGTTTCTTTCCATTCTTCTTCATGGTTTTTTAGTGACCCCTTTGTCCTTTCAACTTCTTTCTTTAAGAGGGGCACACTTAATTGATATCGACTAGGTGGCTAATAACCTCTCCCATGATTACCTACTACCTCTATCATAGCAATGAAGCTTGGATGTGCAATGGCATTGAAAGGGATGCCAGCTTGATAAACCCACCGTGCCACATATGGATGAACATCATTCATATGTTCTTTAGCAATGGAATCATCTAATCTTTGTTGTTTTAAGTCTTTTTCAAATATTTTACTGACATCCATGTTTTTCAAACTAAATTTATCTAATGGGCCAAGCTTCCTAAGTTGCTTTGCTGGGGGCGGAACAGATATATCAATAGCATCAACATCTATTTTCATCCCTTGTTGCATTTTAAGAGAACTAACAATAGCTTTTCTTATCTCAGCTAATTCTTGTGCTTTTTTATCTTTGGCTATCTTTATCCCAACCAAAGCTTCCTAGCATCTTTTCTTAGCTTCATCTGAAACTTTCTGACATTTCTTAACATTGGTTCCATAATGAGCAAGATGACATTTTAATCTATAGATGCCACCTTTGAATATACTTCGGCAAAAGTTACATTTTACAGCATTTAAATCTTTTGAGTCATAGAGTTCTCCATAATCCCAACCCACATCATCTGATTTCCTCTTGAGAGAGGAAGAGGAAGTTGAAGTTGTAGTTGCACTCACATTTGAGGCATCCGAAGAAATATTTGTATTCATTATATGGATTAAACTCTGGACAAAATAGATAAAAATAAAAAATTCAACTTCAAGTCTAAGTTTGAGTCTAAAACAGAGGAATATACAAAAATAAATCTTCAAATTACAAAGCCAAATGTTACTAAAATTACAATTTACAACAACAGCACAAATTACAAACAAATATTTATATGTATGAATTGTGTGACTAGTGACTAAAAATTTTTTATAGAGGAAAATATTCCTGTACATTTGCCATTGAATACAAATTTTAACAATGAATCAAGAATACAATAATAAAACAAAATTTTCAATTTTGAAGATAAAAGTTCAAAGTTTTCCATGAAATTATAAGATTAACATACCTTGAACCCAAATTAGGAACTCAAAGATGCGCTCAAATTTTCAAAACAAAGCAATTTGGAAGTAGAGTATTACAGAGGATTGGAGCCTTGAAATCAGAACATGATTAACTTCAATATGGGGAAAAAAAGAAAGACAAAAGGAGAAAAAAAAAAGGAACTAAATTACTGTTTGAGCTTTATTTTGTGTTTATATACATAGATAAATCAAAGTGGGTTTGGGTTTGGAAATGGAAAATGAAGGGTCTTAGTGTCTCACCGTCTTAGAGAAGGAAGCGGGAAGAAGGCACAATGAAATGCAAGGGGCGGTCAAATGGAAATGGGCATAAATAGGAATTAAGGTCAATTTTTTATTATTTTTTTGACAAAGAAAACAATGTCATTTCATTAATTTGCAAAAGCAAAAAAAATTGTCCAGGCGTTATTAGGCGCAATTAAGCGCACCTAATAGCGCCTAAGCCCGCTTAATTCACTTAGGCGGTTCAAACCACACAGAACCACCGACTAGAGGTCAATGTGATGCGGAAAACCATCACCGAATGACTAGGTGGTGCCTAAGCGTGCTTTTTGCAACCCTGTATAAAATGTAATTATATAAAAGAGATTTATAATTTTTCATCTCTCATAAAAATCAAACTTAAATAAAAAAAAAAATCACCTCCCAAACAGCCAAGTTTTTGATATCGAATCTTATTGGACTTTCCTATATAAGACTTCGGCTGCCTGTGATGGAGACATGGGTTCATTTTTCGCTTTTTCCCTGCCTTTGGTTTTAAGGTTTGTGAGCATATATATATATATATATATATATAGAGGGTTCAGTGTTGTTCATGCTTCTTTTGAGATTTATGAATTTAATATTGAATAGAGGAAATAATTAAACAAATGTTTCAATAGATTAATTTAATTAAAGTAAATGATCTTCTATTGACTTGATGGTCTTCTTTTGGCTTTCTGATGGTTTGGAAAATCATACCACCTTGCTATACAAAATGCCAAAAAGGAAACTCGAAAAATAAATTGATTCTTGTTTGGGCAGCTTCACGATCCAATGCTGTTGAGGTCTTCAGCTGCTTCCACACCTGAAATTCCCGAGGATGTTTCCTTGAGGAAAACACTCCGACGCTCAAGTCAGCAATACTCGATGTTCTAGAGAGATATGCTCTTAAAGAGAAATTGCATAGAGAGAAAGGAGTGGAGATTAACTACCTTCATCCAAGGTAGTTGAGGGGTATTTATAGCCCCAAGTGCTAACATGCATCTGTACATGTATGCATCTGTACATGTAAGCATCTCATTGGCCCACGTGGTGCTGTTCACGTGGGTATGTTTGTACTGGTGCTCCCTCACTTTGAGATAATGGGTGTTAGCCTAGGCCCATTATGTATAGCCCAAATTGAATGTTTGGCCTATTCCAACATTACTCCCCCCTCGGTGTTCGATTGACGAACTGGGTTGAATGTGTCTGTGGCCCAACGTTCGAGCTGGTGATTAGGACAGACAGCCTTAGCAGCTCGCGGCCGACCTCGTTGACGATCGATCTGAAGGGTGGCACCGAGTAAGACGAGCTCGCGAGCCTAAAAGTGTACAGGTGAGCTGATATCCATAACCTTACTAGCATGGGCTCGATATATCAGCGAGCTGAAGTGGCTCACAAAAGGTAAGCTTGCCTAGTGAATAACCATGCACTCAAATTTAAAGTGTTACTCGCTATTTCAGCGAGCTCATTCACGTTGACATAAGCGCGAGCGAACGTGTGACGACCTGAACCGTGAATACTGCCGAAGGTCTTGAAGTGACTAGGTGATGCTGTCACTCAAACATAGTGACGAGCTGAGATGAGGCGACCTCAACCACAGAACGATTTGAGATCTTTGAGTAAACATGGTGCCAAAACCGAGCTACAGCAAAATGAATCTCATATGTGCGACGAGGTTAAATAAAGTGATCTCGAACATCTTACGATCTGTGATCTCTGACGAGCTACCACTTTTGTGACGACCTGATAAATGTGGTCACAATGACGAGCTGGTATGGATGGGAAAAGAAACATGTCAACCTGTTACGATCAGAATCTTGTGGATTTTTCTAAATCAACCAAATCTCTGAGGAGATACAATTGATATCCTCGTATCTCTCTGCCTTCCCCGTCATAAATGCTGGCTCAGCATTTGAGGGGACATGACAGCTAAAATTGATGCACGCTATACGAAAGGGGGTTAAACGCCTACCATGTGTGGGATGCTAACTGGCGCGTCAAAGACACGCGTATGGCAATTAACACTACAATTTCAGTTTTATTCTTTGCATAACCGTTTCCCTTTCCATTTTCATTTCACTGTTTGTTTAAGTTTGCTGAGATTCTCTATAGCGAAGCGCTTCTAGCTTGAAGAACAAAGCACCAGATTGTAAACACTACAGCTACACATCAATCTCAGGTAAAATGGATTTCTTTAGAGAACTTAGAGAGTTACGAGGTAACCAGGGCAGAGAGGAAGAAGAGGAGGGGGTTATTTCTGTAGAGCCTATCGCGATGATAGTGCCGTCGGCCCTGCCTGAGACGATAACGCCTGAGAGCAGTGCCAGTTCCAATGCTAGGGACAATGGTGGCGACCACCACACTTCACCGTCCAGCAGCTCGTCTTCTAGAGAGACACCCAACCGCGAGGAAGAGACGGGGAATGTGGTTGGCGATGAACCAAGTCTGCCCGTGGTTGGAGAATGGGAAAATAGGGTAATCACAGGTAGATTGAGTAACCTACGCAAGGCGCCCAAAGAACTGCCTTCTGATTTTAAGTTCAGGGTGGTGCTTCACCACGAAGTGGCAGATAACGCGCCCTCGATAAGCAGGTATAAGAAACTGGAGGAGATGGTGATGTCGTACCATTTCCCCAGAACGATATTGTTTTGAGCTGGCACGCAGAATGAAAGGGCTGCACGGTGTCACAGGCGGGCTGGATACCAGTGTACGTGGATCACTTTGACGCCGGCCTGCAATTTCCCTTGCCCGAGCTGATATTCAATCTGCTGGCGGATTACAAGCTAACTTTGACGCAGCTGACGCCCAACAACATAAGGTTCATCATAGGCTTTATGCTGTTGTGTGCGAGGTTGGAGGTACCGATGAAGGCGATAGTGTTCAAGTCGCTATTCTAGTGTCGACTGTGCCCAAACTCCAGAGGTGCGAAGTAGTACTACCTCTCTCGAAGGGAGAAGAGTCAGCTCTTTAAGAATGTGAGGAATAAAGTGGCGAGGTGGAAGAGGCAGTTCATTTTCGTTCGCGACACGCGCACAGAAAGAATAAGCAACGACCTCACTACTCTGCTATCTTAATGGCGCGTGCCAAATGCATATGTTAATTACCCCCAGCTGCTAAAGTCGCGAAGAGGGAGAATTTGATAGACTTAGAAGCCCTGGTTACCTCGGAGCAGCTCGCCGTGTTCGGGTTTGTTGACGTGGCAAACTAGTTCACAGAAGGTATAATTTTATCATATAGTACGAATTCTAGCCGATTGAGTCTTATATATTTATTTGTGCAGGGGAAATGAGCAGCATTCTTGAAAGGCAACGTCAAAGAGCCTAGGGCTCCTAAGGTTGCGCGGCAAGCAGCGCCTCTCAGAGACAGACACGATTTGACGAGCGGCCGCCCCCAGCGCTGCAGTCTCGCAGCTCGTCACATCGTGGATCAAGCTTGGCGTCCAGGCCGTGGGCCAAGCATAGAGCTGAAGCTGCGGCTCCTAGTGCACGCAGGCATGCACGTGAAGATACCGACAGCGAGGATGAGGTCCCCTCATGCAGCGCAAAACTAGTTTGGGGACCCAGCCCGCGCAGGCACTTCCAACTGTGGCCGTGCGCTCATCAAACGCGCCATCTGCCACGGTACGGGCAGCAGCTGAGCCCGCACCTGCATCGACCTCAGTGTCGGCACCCAGGATTGCATATCCGGAGGGCTTCAGCTATGTCAAAATGGACTGCCAGCCCACCATGGTGCAAGGCATGCAAAGCTTTGTGCCTCTCGTGGATCGTCAACGGGCAAGGACCTTTGTACAGCAGCATGGCGGGCAAGTCGCCATGGTCAAACTGATGGACGTAAGTATTTACTTGCACCTACGTGATTATTTTGCTATTTCATTCTAGAGACTAACAGTTATTGTTGTCTGGTAGGCGTTTAGCTACGCAGTCGCACTGTTCGAGAGTGAACAAGGAGCTCGCTCTCAGAATAGCAAGCTTAGCGCCAACTGCAAACAGTTGGCCGCAGAAAAGGCCAGCCTTGTGGACAATGTCAATCGTCTGCAAGGCTTGGAGATGGCCACTCGAGCGGCTTCAGCGGAGAGTCGAGCAGAAGAGCTTTCGAGCAGGAACAATGAGCTTAGGGAGGAGTTGGAAAGGGCCCGTGCTGAGAAAGAAAGCAGGATCCAAGTGGCGAAGGACGAGGCCGCCCGGGTTAAGGAACAGGCCAAAAAAGCTAAGGCCAAGAGGGACCATGCTCTGAACGAGCTGAGCTCCCTGAGGCGACAAGTCACCCAAGCCGCCCAGAACCTTAATGAAGCTGAGGAGGCCCTGAACAGAGTGAAGGCATCTAACGGGCGCTTCGTAGGCATCGCCCGTGCTCAAGGGGCAGAGTGGCTAGTGGGGTCGGCCGCGTTCCAAGACGCTGTGGCGGTGGCGTCTGCAAACATGACCACGGAGATCTACAACGAGATTCGTGGGAAGGTACTACAGCATCGCCCGGACTTCCCAATACGCGAGCTAGTGTTTTTCGACGGGGAGGACCTTGACGAGCAGGGTAAGAGCCTTGCTCCCCTTGCTGATACGACAGTGCGGTTGAGGTGGGAGCTCAACGAGGAGGGGGTACCCGTCTGGCCTCCTTAAGTACTAGAGGAAGGGGAGGATCCAGCGGGCCTACCCTTCTTCGACTCCTTGGTTGAAGGGGCTCCTGTAGCTAAACAGGAGCCATTGAGCACTCACCCCAGCTCTCAGCCCGTCGTAGTGCGGGCCAGGTCACCTGTCAGTGCACCAGCTTGCGAGCCTACATCCCAGCCTTCTCTAGCTCGCTCCTCTCCTCCTGCTGCTAATGCGTCCATGCCCGTCGATTTGACGGATGACTAGTTTTAGGATTTTTCTTTTCTTTTTTGTACTGCTTTTGCATTTTTGTATTGATCAATGGATCCGTTTCATATGTACTTCAAATGTAAACATCATTGATGAAATACAAACATGAGTTTTCCTTTGAAACTTCTGTATTGATTGTTGTATATTTTTTGTACATTGTTGTTTACAGTTGATTGATAACAACTTGACTAAGATAATAGCATACACGTTAACTGTAAAATTTCCTAAGGTTATGTATGTTTCAAATGAATGGTAATGGATGACCTTGCAAATCTGCCAACTGGTAAGACCTAGGTCGCTTAACACAACTAACCATATAAGGACCTTTTCAGTTTGGTGCAAGTTTCCCCATATGCGAGTAAGCATTAGTGAGAGTGAGCCCAGCCTTGCGCAAAACCAGATCGCCAACTTGAAATTGACGAGCTCGAACTCACTTATTATAAAATCTAGCGACACGACTTTGATGTACCATGTTTCTTATTAGAGACATCTCCCTGACCTCTTCCACAACATTTAGGTTCTCTCTTAAAAGTTGCTCATTTTTAGGATCGTTGTGCCGACCTGCTCTATTAGATGGCAATCTGACCTCTACAGGGATGACGGCCTCAGTTCCATAGGCAAGGCTAAATGGGGTTTCGCCTGTGGTCGAGCTGGGTGTAGTGCGACATGACCAAAGCACCTTATTGAGCTCGTCAACCCAATTAGAATGCGCAGCTAGAACACGAACACGCATCTTGAGGCCTCGCAAGATGATTTTATTAGTGGACTTGGCTTGTCCATTTGACCATGGAGTACACATAGATGTCAAAGCGAGCTCAATGCCATAGTCGTTACAGAATGACCTCAGTACCGCAGCTCAGAATTGTGGACCATTGTCAGTGATGATCCGTTTAGGTATGCCGAACCTATACACAGATGACCGAGCTGAGCAACAGAATATATTTGTATACAATGTCTAAATGGCTTAAGCCACCAAAGAATACCTGCATAATATTGAATTGAACAGGAATTCCTCTATTTTCTTCTCTGTTGTCGTGGATAAGGGTTTGGCTTCTATCCATTTCGTGAAGTAATTCACCGCGACAACTAGGTATGTGCAACCTCCTTTGCCTTTCACAAAAGGGCTGAGCAGGTCGACTCCCTATTGAGCAAAAGGCCAAGGAGATGAGAGTGACGAGAGCATTTCTCCTGTTTCAACGAAGATACTTATGCTCAGTTTATAGACAAACATGAAGTTTGCACGAACTTTAGAACGAGCTCAAATACCTGGCATGTGTATATCATCAGCATTGAACTGGCAGGTCGGGCATTTTTTGACATAGCTCTGTGCATCCTCGACCATAGTAGGCCAGTAATAACCATGCCTTAGGAGTTTTCGAGCTAAAGTTCTACCACCTATGTGTGTGCCACATACTCCTTCATGAACTTCCCTCACAGCGTATTCAGCTTCATAAGGAGTAAGGCAGCGTAGTAGGGGCATTGAGGCTGCTCGCTTGTAGAGCTGATTATCTAACAGGGTGAAATGTGCCGCCCTGCGTTTAATCAATTTTGCTGTGGATGGATCTTCAGGCAGCTCGCCACTTCGCAGATACTCTATGAGCGAGGTGGTCCAGCTTGGTGAAGAGGGATCTGTGCTTAGTAGTTGACACTCGATTGTGAAATCGGTGTAGCTCGGGGCGTCAAGTACCTCCACAACTGTTGACCTCTGAGGGTTGATATCTTGTAAGGACGCTAATTTTGATAGCTCGTCAGCTCGTTGGTTATCTGTTCTGGGTATTGCACGAGGGGAAAGCACTAGGAAAGTGCACCAGGATTGCAAGTCAACAAAGCTCAGACTACACTCTGCAGACTACAAATAGGCCAGTGCAATTTTGTCAAAAGTGGCCACTAAATTCCATAAAGATGGCTAACTCCCAACTGCATTTTCACTTTTCATTTATTGCCTTATGTTAGATTTTGCTTATAAATAGCTATGTTCCTGTCGTTGTATGCATAAGTTTTAATCCAAAATTTCAGTTCATAAATTCTCCTCTGTTGAGTGAGTTTCTTGAGAGTGGATTCTCTCAATTTATCTTTATATCTTAAGTCTTGCCAACCTAAGTGGTGAGCCTGGCAATCGAATTCATCGTAGTGGGATTTTAAATCTTGCCAAAATCAGTGTTTCGGTATCGGCTCCTATGCCATTTGGTATTAGAGCCAATATATTTGAAGTCTGCACGTCATTCTGAGCGTTCTGGTGAAAACCCAATCGACAAACAAGGTAGCACGCGCCTCCATGCGCTATCGCCGTTGTCTTACGCGTCGGCCACTCGCACCACTGCAAATCGCGTGAAAGTCACGCGCCGGTGATCTTTAACCTCTCATTCGCCACGTCATCAACACGTCATCAGCCACGTCATCATCCAATCACTGCCACATCATCTATTTGCCACGTCATCTGTGCCATGTCAATTGACACATCATCAGCCACGTCAGTGACACGTCATCACCGCAGCCGCACTCTTTTACCACGTCATCAAGTTCCTCAACTTATTTTGACCTTACAGATTGATCCCATAATTTTATAAATTTCAAATTACCCCCACTTTCAAATACTAACTTTCCAAAAAGCCCATTACCAACCTAAACTCATCATGCCTCCTAGAAAACAAAATCCTCCTCATCAACGAGCTGTTTGGGACATAGAAATGGAAGAACTACATCAACAAATTCAAAGGCTTCAAGAAAGACTCGAAGCTTTTGAGGGACAACAAGCTCAACACCCGCAAGATGAACCACATGAGTCAGAGGAAGATACTGATGACGAGAATCCTTTCCATCACCTAAGGGATAATGAAAGCTCATCATCAATAGAAAGAGTTCGTCGTCGACGATGTCCCCAACAAAATGCTGCTCCCAAATCCACTGACCTTGGCATCAAAATTGATATTCCAGATTTTGAAGGTCGCCTTCAACCAGATGAATTTATCGACTGGTTGCACACTGTGGAACGTGTGTTTGAACTCAAGGATATTCCTAACAACAAGCGTGTGCAGCTTGTCGACATCAAATTAAAGAAACATGCATCCATTTGGTGGGAGAATCTCAAACGCAGTCGAGAAAGAGAAGGCCGCAACAAAATTAGAACTTGGGAGAAAATGCGTCAAGAACTCACTCGTAAGTTTTTACCTGACCGTTACTACCAAGATAATTTTGTTAAATTTCATAACTTGCAGCAAAAATCTTTGACTGTGGAGGAATATACTATGGAGTTCAAACAATTAATGATAAAGTGTGATGTTCGGGAAAAGGACGAGCAAACCATAGCTCGATATCTTGGAGGATTGGACTATGTCATTTCCAAAGTTGTTCAACTTCAACAATATTGGACTTTGGATGATGTAATTCGGCTAGCATTGAGGGTTGAAAAGCAAATCTCAAAGAAGAATATCCCTAGTACATCAAAACCGCGGGATTTTGGAGCTAGCAGAGGGACTCAAGCCTCAAAAACTGTTGCTAAGACCCCTACCAAGACTGAGAAGGAAGTCAGCTCGAGCCGTCAAGCTCAATCTAACACTCAAAAGTGTTTCAAGTGTCAAGGATTTGGCCACATAGCCTTCGACTGTCCAAATAGGAGAGTTGTCACCATTATCGGAGGAGAAATTCATGAAGCCTCAGAAGATGAAGCAGAAAAGGAGCAAAATTGTAACACCCCACATACCTTAGTGAATAATTTAAAAATTGGTGTCCTTTAGTTTATAGTTTTAGGGACTAAATTGATTGAATTTAAAATTTGGGGGTTTTAAGTAAAATTTAGTAGAAGTTGAATGACCATAACTCAATTATCCCAATTTTGCTTACCACATGGCATTTTCCCAACCAAGTTTTTTTGTCTTGTCAGTGGAAGCTTGGATAAGCCTCCAGAAGCCTCCCAAAAGCCTCATTTTGCTTTCTCATGCCTTCCTTTTCCACCCACATCATTTTCTTCCTCTTTTCTCCACCAAGGTTAAGGTGCTTTTGTTAGGTAAGTATAAGTTTTAGTTATGAATTTTGGGTTAGAGTTTTGGGTAGTTTAAATTAGTGAGATTTGATTTTAATCCTTTGATTTTATAAGATTTTTGGGTATTAAACTTTTATTAGAAATATCCTTAATATTGAGGTTTATATGGCAAAGATAGTGAGTTAGTCCTTTCTATTGTTTGATTTGGATGTGATTTTGCTGCAGGAATTAGAAGGAAATTACGAAATACTGTTCATGATTACTGTTCATGATCACTGTTCACGCATTATGCTTTGATCTCTTTCAATAGGAAATCCTAATATTATTTGGACATATTATGAATTTGTTTGACACGTGTATGTGTTTGTGGCTATGGAGTAAGTGGAATTAAGCTTAAAGCTTGGGGTATTCAGTGGACCTCTGTGCAGTAGGGTTAGTACTGTGATTAGCTCTAGTACAGTGTTGCTAGCACACTCAGTGGACTCCATAGCATTGTGTGATTTTCGATTTTATGCATTGCGCTTGTGACATTGTGTTTGTGAGCATATGATTTTAGTATATGAATTCAATTTAAATGTCATTGATTATTCCTTGACATTTATGCTTATGATTTGATTTCGTTGTGTCTTATGCTCTTTGTGTGGATAGGTCTAAAGGTCTTAGAACCCAAGTTTATAGCCTAAACTTATTACTTACTGGGCTGTGAGCTCATAAAATTCCCCTCCATTTCAGATCAGTAGATCGAGGTAGCAGCATCTCGGTTTAGGAGCTTTTGGCACGGGACTCGCGTGCTCGTTGTATGTACAAGCTAGGGCCTCGTGTTTTCGATAAGGGGGCAGATCGATGTGTTACCAAAACCATGACTCAGCTTTTGTTTTTGAAAAGCTTTGAAGAAGAATTTGCCTCGTATAATTTTTGTGTAAATTAGCTTTCTGTATAAAACCTTTAAATTAATTATAAATGAGTTTAGCTCAGCTTATTTTATAACTTTGAATATTTTGGCATTTTCCAATATATATATGATATTCTTTTTATTAAATTGATTTTTTGAATGTAGGCTTTCTTTTGAAAAAATATTTTATATCATAAGTGTTTTTACTTCCG